AAAATGACTGAGAAAGTTCCTATTTTAGCACAAATTATACTGATTTTTAACTATTACTACAGTAGGCTCCTAAGTCGACTTCTCTGGTCTTTCAAAAGTCCGGTGAAGGCAAATTCCCATGGATTTTTGGCTATTTCTGTTTAGTTTAGGTCCCGAGACGCTTTTTAGAGGCTCTGAAGATGGATTCTAGCTGAAATTACTGTTTTTTTTGGTTGCTAGCGTCTGGTTTTTCAAGTTTAAAAGATGTAGTGTCATAGAAAAAAATGATTTTTAGCCTTAAAACGTATTTTTTTTTTTTTTACAACGCCACAGCTATCGTCACCGGAATCCACTATGTTTACAAGCCTGCACAGTCCCTTTAAAGCCACTTTAAAACCCCGCCAATCCCTTGTTTATTTTCTTATCATTTTGACAGCCATAGCTGGGTAGGGGGGAACGGTAGTGAGGGGGTAGCCAGGGTAAAAGAAGGAATCGGAAAGAAGGATCGGCTGTCAGAAGGGATGGCGCGCCACCACCCCATTCGTGCACACACAAACAGACACACAAACAGACGGACACACGCACAGACAGACAGAGAGCTCTCTCGCACTCTACCCACCGGTACAGCAGCAGCCATCATCATCTCGGGGACAGCTGAGGGACGGTCGAGAGTATGGCTTAGGAACTTTTCCTGGACCCCCAAACTTTTGTCGTTGACTAATTTCTTGTTTTCTAAGAGTTAGAACATGGCACTTTGTTGCCTTTTTGCCTTTTTTTGCGGTTTTCAGATATCTCTGAGTGGTTTTAAAGGCACTAACAAGTCAAAAAAATCTATGGATTTCTCTATTCCGTTAAAAACTGCCCTCGATTCGGAACGCTTCGGAAAACAACTTTTTTTTGGGTGGTCTAACTAGCTTTCGAACCTTGAATTCTCCTCCTAGAAGATAAGCTCCCCAATGCAATTTAAAGTAGCGTGTAAGTCGAATCCATAGGTAGAACTGGAAGTTCCTAGGTGTTCCAGCTCCTTTAAAACGGCCTGAAATCAAAAAAGGTGGAACTGTCAGGCTTCAAAACTAATTCTCTTTCTCTCTCACTCTCTCGCGCTCTCTCTCTCTCTATCTCTCTCTCCAGTTCAAAATTCGAAACCACAAACATTTAAAGTTTCACAAGCCAATCTGAACTCTCCCACCACCCCCATTACCAAACTTTGAAAATCCCACCCACGTGTTCCCCCAGTCTCTCTATCACTCTACCTGTTTGTGTGCCCTTTCCTTCGAGTACCGTTTAGTAAAAACACCTTTTGCAGTTGCCAAAATTGCCAAATATTGGTTCCGACCGAATCAATCATACGCCATGTCGTGTCTGACTTTAGAAAACAGCACGCCTTTCTCACGGTTAGTCACTCACAACCTCGGAAACGGAATTTTCTAAACCTTTGAATTTGCCAGCATTCGCTCCACGCGGCGGAATTCGAGAATTGACGTCAGTCATTTTTGAAAAGCCAAACATTTCTCTGCGTTCCCAGCGTATTCACCCGGAATTTTTGGAGTGACCGGCCGGTCGGGGAGGTAAAAATGATACCTGAGAAGGGAGGGGAAGGGGGAGTATAGCGTAGTATAACGTAGCTGCTCTCTCTCTCTATCTTTCTCTCTATCTCTCTCTCTATCGACTTACTTTTCACGTTTGACGTACTTTTCGCAGTTTTGCGGCACTCTATTTTGATTTTTCGATATTGGAGACGCATCAACCGTAAGCGGTAGTAATGCGTAGTATTGCGGGGGAAAGCGACGCTTTCCCGTGTGTTCTACTTAGTGTTCCCCTTCTCCTCCTCCTTCTCCTCCTCCGCTCATCAGGTGATGAATCAGGACCGGCCCGAATTCACGGCCCTTTCGGTCCGGAGGGCGGAACCCATTTGATTTCGTTTCGACGGTGGACAAATCGAAATCGATGATTTTGGATACAATTCCATTATTAATTCCAATTCCATACATATTGGGTCATTTGGATCCGAATGGAGCCCTTTTAAAGCCTTGAAATTGACTTTTTGTGGCTTGCAACTTGGCGTCTTCTTCTTAAAGCGCATTTTGCTTTTCTATGCTTTGTTCGTCGAATTTCTCTCGTTCTCTTCCCTTTCTCACTATCACCTATTCCCTCCAATCGTAGGCCCAGATGCAATGGTGGGCCGATTGGAGACGCGTCCGCCACACGGCCGAATGGGGTCCGTGCGAGCCGTGTTGGCCGAGTGGAAGAACCTCTTTGACGGCTGCAATTTTATCAAGCGAAAGGATAGGAGCAAGAGGTAAAAATGGAGCTTGATGCTCTTTCTCTCACTGACTTTCTCTCTCTCACTCTGGCCAAAAAATGCCTACAATTATTCTTTCCAACCATCAAAAAACATCTCTACCTATACCGGACCCACTCCCAAACCTAAACTTGTCCATTTCTGTACCCCAATCCATCACTGATCCTTATCCGACCCCCTTCTTGGCCAGGCTCCAGCCATTTTTCGGCTTTTTTCCTTTTGTTTCCTGCCGATACCGACCCGGCTACCTCCAAGATTTTATCAAACCCTGGTCCCGCGCCTCACGTGGTCCGTGAAATCGGGAGATTCTCCAGGCTGACATCCGATTTTTGATTTCCACCTTTTTGGGGGAACGGAAACGGAAGTCTGATGCTGCTTGGCTTCACTTTTTGGGGCGCTATCGAATCGGAGAATCGAATTTCAATCGCGCAGGGAACGACGACGACGACAAACAAATCTCCCACGTTCCCATCGTGTCCGTTTCCATCCAAAGAACGGCTGAGCGACCGATTTTTCGTGGCTGCAGAAATGGCAAAGAAATTCAGAGGCAAATAGAAAACTTGTGATTTGAGGGTTCAGAGCTGAGGGCATTTACAGGATATATTTTGGGGTAATGGACGGGTGGTACTTGAACCCTTGAAGCTGATGAAAAACCGGGAGAGTCGATAATGTTGAAATACTGTAATTATTGTGATTATCAAAATCCGCTGAAAAATGCCTTTCCAGAAGCGTCAATTTGCTAGGCCATTTTTCACGTTTTTCGGCTTTTGAAAGCTATTTTTAAGGTGCTAAAACGCCTTCCTAAGCAATCTGAGTTTTCTAAACTTAAGATATTCAAAATCTGTAAAATCCAACACTAACTGTAACCCTCTTTTGGTCGAAGTGGAAATTCCGTACATGAGATAGCACATCTTGTGCAGAATTTTTTGCTGATTCCGAATCCGTTTTCAAAAGTTGCGGAACCCCTCAGATTAAAAAGTTACAAGCGTTTTTAATACCCAAAATGCCACAAATCGCTTACTTTAAATCGTTCCAAAAATTCCGTAAGATATTTTTGGGAACAAAGTAAGACATTTTCCGGGGTAAAAAAACGTGCTCTTTCGAATGGGCTATTTCACAAACCCGTAGCTCGAAATTTCGAAAATTTCGAAAATCGACCATCTTGGGCAAGGGTCCGCCAAAAAAACTTTTTTGCAAATTTTGAGCTACGGGTTTGTGAGATAGCCCATTCGAAAGAGCAGGTTTTTTGACCCTGGAAAATGTCTTACTTTGCTCCCAAAAGTATCTTACGGAATTTTTAGAACTATTTAAAGTAAGCGATTTGTGGCATTTTAGGTATTAAAAACGCTTGCAACTTTTTAATCTGAGGGGTTCCGCAACTTTTGAAAACGGATTCGGAATCAGCAAAAAATTCTGCACAAGATGTGCTATCTCATGTACGGAATTTCCACTTCGACCAAAAGAGGGTTACAGTAAGATCCCAGAAAAAGTCAAAAATCTAGATTTTTGACCGCATGTGAGAAGTTGTTGTAAAAAAAATCAAAGCTTTTGATCGAAGTCAGGGTGTTTTTGGCGCCTCTTTTTGCGATTAAAGAGTCCGAAACTGTTTTTTTTCTCAAAAACTTTAAAAAATTATCGGTTTGGATGGTCGTTGGAAAATCAATTCCCCGGCCAATCAAACTTTGATCCTAGCGCCCAAATCTCTGGGCGAACTCTGCGGTTTCCCCTTTCTCACATGTCCCCGCAAAGAAAAAGATAAAAGATAGCTATTTTTCACACCCTGCCCCCAAATAAAAAGCACTGAGAAAAGCAGAAGAAAAAACCCCTGCGCCTCCTTCTCCTGCCGTTGTGTTTTCAAGACAAACAAGTCAAAGCGACCCGACCCGCGGAGGTGAATCCATTTTTTGGTCGTAACCCCCGGGCCGGGGGCCCTAAAAAACGATTGCGAAAGTTTGTGGAAGCACACACAGAAATACAGGCCAAAAGACAGACATACAAACCGTCGAAAAGACAGACAAACACCGGCACAACGAGCCCAGGTGAATCAGAATTTGGAAGGAAGCGGCGGGGAGGCAGTGGATGGGGGGTTTTTGAAGATAAGGGGGAGCTGCACGAATTCTGGAGGCCGCGAAAAGTGGCGTGCACTATTTTGGGGGCTAGAGACTGATCTCGCTGGATTCCGCAAGGTTGATTTTTGCTATTTTTCTACTCATAGAGCTCCTCGATTTTGATGAAAAGTTTGTCGACGATATTGGAGACGGTTATTTGGTGCGTAACGTACTTTCGGCTTACTTTAACAATTAAAGGGACTTTGGATGTCGAAACTTACTACGCGATACGCCTTGCAGTCAGCATATAGTCAAAAAGCGTAGATATTGCTGTCATTAATGCTTTATAATATTTACCGCGAAATCGAGTGGATCGATCCAGATGATACCCATTAATATACCGTGTTTTAATGAGCAGACGTATGCCAAAAATCAGTTATTTCCACTTCTATTTACCCTATCATGTCGTATATATTTTTACTACGCACTTCTGAATGGTTCTGGTGGTTAAATAATTTAATATGGTGAGCTTACGAGATCAAAGCTCTTAAAAATCATTAAAAAATGTTGATATTTGGTATTTGGAGGTCATCCTAGGTATATTGAAAGCACAAATCGTATTAGGGATTTGCGGGCTACGTTTTTGAAGGAATTTTGATATATCTCCATTTTTCAGTCGATCCCGACGCGGCAAGGACCAGAAGGAGACGCCGGTGACCCGGCGTGGCGCTTCCGTCTCGCACACCGCCCAAACGAAAGTTGTACCTCCCGAGCAGAACTTATGTGTTTGCGATTCGATCGATGATCAGGTTCGTTTTTATGGTTTTAAAATAATACAAAAACCGAAAACACCGCCGAATTGTCAAAATCTGTTTAGAACCCGTCGTGGCAATTTTCTGTTAACCTTAAATGTTGCGATTCCAATTTTTGTAGCTTCCTTGTTAAAATTGCTACTTCATTGTGGCTTCAAATTATCTAATTTTTGATCGCTCGGAGCGCGGCTTTTAATAAGGCCGTATACCGCTATCAGTACTTGACGATTTGTCGACCCTACTTATGCCATTTTCTGATTTGAATCCGGAACGGAATGATGTTTTGAAAATTTGAGAGCATGCATTTTTTTACTATTGATAAACTACAATAAATATAAACCTTAAGATTACCTTACGGGAGATAACACCCCTGTTTTAATTTTTAACTTTATTATCCACATCATATGATTATTACTAGGCGGCTTATTAAACCCTTTAAAATGTTAATATGCGTAAATTTCCCCATAGCAATTGCCAAGAATACTGTTAGCTAATTTCCGGGCTTTTAAAATTAAAAAAATAGGCTTAACTCATATTTCCAACTCTTTGAATCCTCTCAATCCGTTTTCCAAAGTTTCCAAATCTGCAAAATTCCCAAAAAACCGCTAAATTGCCCTCCCACACAATTGTCCAGCTTTGTTCAGCTGTTTCCGTAGCATTTTTTGCCCAATTTTCACCCTCTTTGAATGGTCATGGGAAGCAGGCGGCAGCTGGGCGCCTGGCGCCCATTCTGCGCCCCTGCGACCGTAGCCAATCAATACCGGGCCGGCCAATGCCCCGAGGGCATCCAGCCCGCGCGCCTTGCCCCCACCCAGCCATTTGGTTTGCCATCCCGGCGCCTCATTTTTGCGCGCGATTTTCGGCCCGTTTCCGGCAAAATAGGCAACTGGATTGGCCTGGTCCGGAAACGGCCACTGTCGATGGCCGGGGATGACCCGATTGAAGTGAGTTTTGAGGCGGAATTAGAATCTGTCGATTTTTGGCGTTTTCCGAGCTTTTCCTTATCAAATCTGGTTAGAATATACCTTAAAATCGCTCGTTTTATCGCGTGTTACCCAGAAAAACCAGGCTAGACTGCCTCTCAAAACAACGCGTTAGTCTTTATTTTATTGAATTTTGCCTGAAATGCGCGGTATCTCATGAGGTAAATTTTTGCTAATTGATTATGACAATTTAAAAGCGGTTTGAAATTGGCTTAGTGACTCTTCACTTTGACAAATTGTTAGCAAACCTTATGAATTCAAAATTGTCTCTATTTTACCTTCTTCTCATTGGATTTCCAGATTTTATTAAAGATCACTATTAAAGATTTAACAGATCATTATGCCTTTTTTAACAGTTTTAGTGCGATTTTCCGACCATTTTTCGAACCCGGAATCCCTAAAAATATCGCTGTACGTCCGGTCGATTTCCCCTTCCGGCTCGACCGTTGAAAAATCCGATCTGACACACCCTAATGAAAAAAACAGACACATGGGCTGTCTACTGCTCGCTTGGGTGGCTAATTTGATTCCGGGATGGGAGCACGACTAGGATAAATGAAACACAAACTAAAAGTTATAAATTCTATACATTTCAGATGATCGAGCGCTTCTCCCAAATCCCCGGCGGCGTCGACACGAACGAGTGGCTGGCGACGCATAGTGGGTTTTTAACTTAGAAATTGGTGTCCTTGTGACTTTCAAATTAATTTGTTAAAATTAATATGTTTTGTTACTGCTTTTTCGTACCTTAAAATATTACCTAAATCATTTTTTAATTCACTTTTGCGGAATTTTTCGCTCAAGAATTGTGCCTGTTTTTACGATTTTGGAGACTTTTAATCAAATTCCTTAAATATATTTGAAATCGATCAAGACTATATGGTACCCGTTTGCAGCCCTGGCCCTGTTCGACCACGTCAACGCGTTATGTGGCAGCATATCGGAATTATGCACGCCGGTGACGTGTCCGGCAATGTCGTTTCCCGGCACGAGGTCAGCAACCAGGGCCCAGACAATCTATAAAAATAAGAACACAAACATATACCGTAGATAACCGATGTTCTGGCATATATACGATTTTCATAGCTTAAAAAAAAGCTTTGAAAAGCTATTGGCGAGTTTTCCTGAAAAGGCAAAGTTGCCAGCAACACACACAGCCGTTTTTGTAACACCAACACTAGAAGGGATTTTTGAGAATCTTACGACTACCTTTATGACGATCACCATATTATTGTATTTTTTAGCAAAGCCATCTTCGTGGACGAGCGAGGGAAACGGCACACCTACACGGCTCCCCAATACATCGATTGCGTGATGTCATTTTGCGAGCAAAACTCTAAAAACGAGGACTTCTTCCCTACCAGATACGGTAAGTAGACTGGCAAATTACGCAAGTAGCGATACTAGTATAGCGAAAAATCGAAATTGATCTCTGCTAGCTTGCGAAGCCTGCTCTAGCTGGATCAACCCTTGAAAATGGAGAAAACAATACTTTATTTGCGGTACCCGTACGTACCCAGAAAAATTAAAAATTCAGAATCCTGAGATTTTTAAACATTTTGTCCCGTTAAATGTTCCCTGCTAGCTCACCAAAGGACGGACACCCACTATAAAACACGCAAATTACGATTTTCACTTCAAAACGCCTTTAAAAAATGCGCCTTGTAAGCTGTTTACACTTTTTCATACTATCTGCACCCGCCAGTAGCTTCCCTGGCCATATTTCCTTATCTTGGCACCCCTGCTGACACCCTAGCGCCCCAAGGCTATACCCCAAGATTGTCTCAGATTTTGCTATCAGATTTGGTGGTGGCTGCTGCTGCCCAGGCGATATATTTGCGCAACTTCCACACGGGCGTCTCCCACCCTCGGGGGCGCATCGTAAATAGGCGTAAGGTGTAGCGGACGGACACACGCAAATCTTAGAGACAGATGGATAGACGAACAGACAGACGGATAGATATTACCCATAATTATGGGGTTCCCGCGAAAACGGAGAAGGAGATGTTGATGGATGATGTGGCCGAGTGGCTAGATTTTAGTCAAGGGACCTAGAAAACTACGAAAACGACGACCGGGCAAGCTAGCAGAGACCATTTTGGAGATGGCAAAAATCCTAGACGTTTAAAAGTTTCAAAATTTGATGCTGATGTTTTATTTTTCAGGTTCAACATTTTCGGGTGACTTCCAAGGGCACTGCCGACGGGTAATACGGCTACTATGGCAATGCTGTGGCCATTTGTACACAAATCATTGGGATCAGATGGGTAAGTGGATGTAAATATTCCCCTCTCATTCACCCTCTCACTCCCTCTCACCCACCCTCTCTCTTTCTCTCTCTCTCTCTCTCTCTCTCATGCTCTCTCTCAAGGTCCATATTTTTTCAGGCGTTCTCGACCTTCGGCCACAATGTGCAATGGTGCTGGCGCACATGTCGCAGATCAGCAAAATCTTTGGACTGCTCGAGCCCAAGGATCAGCAGCTGGTCAACAACACCGTGCAGCTGGTGAGTATCGCAAACAATTCTTGATTGAAAAATACCTTCAAAAATTTAAATTATCTTTCAAAGCCTATCTGTCATGCTTCCTGTAAAAGGAGACTGACAAGGATCTCGTATTTGTAGAAAGCTCTAGTAATGCTGCCGTGCTCCATAAGTTTTCAGCTCAAACAAATCCAGCGCCCTGACTTGCTATTTCCTTTAAAGTGTTTTTCACACCCATTTAGGGGTTACATGGCCAAAACACTGCATAAATTATTATTTCACGACTTTAATACAGTACATTACCGTACCAATTCCAGATCCGTCCCGCCTACGTCCCAGTGATGCCACTCTCGACGAGGAGCCCCTCCACCCTACCACTAGGCGCGGAACCCCCACGCTACTCCCGGGTCCCCTCATCAAAATCAGGGTCCTGGGGCGGTCATCCGACCACCCAAGTATTATCCGCCAAACCCTATGCCCAGACGTGTTGAAAATAGCGACTCTCCCTCGCGTGTCGAATTATTATGGGATTTTCTATATATCGATACCTACGATACGTACTATAGACATGTAAGACATCCCCGTGTGTGTTTGTCTCTCCCCCAAACCCCGATCACAAAACCGGTTTCACGATTTGCTTGGCTTTTTTGAGGGTAAGGGTGGGCTTTATCAGAGGTAAAATTAAAATTAAATTAGTGTAAAACCACGCTTTTTGTAAACATCCGTTCTAACAGGACGATGACAGCAAGAAAATAGCTTAAAAGGGCTCTTCTTTCAACCAGCTTATTTTGAAAATTAAAAAAATTAAAAACTAGTTTGAATGGGCGATGATGGCAAGAAAATTCGCTAAAACGTGCCGAGCAGGTCAGTTTTTGGCGAAATTCACCGCAAAATCGTGAAAACTTGCTGTCACACTACCTTTAAAACAAGTTTTTTTTTAAAATGGAGCCTTCAGTTGCTATCACGCTCCCTTTAAACAGTTTAAAGCCGCCTCAACTGTTCTAAAAAAATTCTAAAAAAGTTTTTAGTTCTTAGAGAAAGTCCATCCTCACCCCCAAACCCGATACCTGTACACATTTCTCCGAAACCGAAAAATGCAATTTTCTGTATCTGGCTTTTTATTTCTGTAAAATTCTCCAAAAATAAAACTTTTCCGCAACTTTCCGATCCCCCCGGAATCTCTCTGGGGCCGCCGCTTTTCCCCTGAATGCTCAAGCGAATAGCCCCGAATTGGTCCCTTTTTTCTACTACGAATTTTCCACTTTACACCTATCCACACCCCATCTTCCTCCAGCGAATACGGTAATTCCCCCACTATTCAATTTACGGACCCCAGGATACCTATACCTATATACAAAATCTTGGGATATACCTTACGTTACACTCCTCTTTACACCTCCCCACCCGGTACGGCAATTTTTTGGTAGCACGACTACCATTTTCGAGTTTTTCCAGTCCCTTTAAAAGTACCCTATCATTAGTGCGTGTTTATACAAGTTTTATTCAAACTCCCTTAGCGAATTACGGTCGTATTTTTCTATACTTTTTCTGGAATTTTACCATCTTTCCCATGCATTGTTGATCGCCGAAACAAAAAAACAACTCTGCGTGAAAGCCATCTGTGTTATACTCGGTTTTAATGATTTCCTGTGGAGAATAAAAATTGGATATAACTCTTGTGCTATTAAAGACACTACAAGCCATAAAACTTGCAAAATACAGGTGAAATCAGCTGGTAATTACTGCAATAATTTATTCAGAATCCAGACTACCTCGTATTTGGTCAGTTAAAGGACTAGCATAAGTGAAAGCAATATTTTGGTTTTTGGTTAAATGGAAAAGAGAGAGAGGGAGAAAGAGGGAAGAGAGAGAGCGGGGGTAAGAGAGTGCGGGGGAGTGAGAGAGAGTGCGAGAGAGAAACCGAGTAAAATTAGAAGTTTAGACAACAGGTTTGGTCGAGAATATATTAGCCATCCCCAGCGGTTTGCTGGGCAGCGTTTGGTTCATCGATTGGCGATTGTCCCACAAGGATGGGGCCTAAAATCACGCTCTTTCTATTTTACAGGGGGAGTGACAATGAATTTTAAAGATTTTCGAGAGCTTATAACTGTCGAAAGCTACGGAATTACATGGTGTGTACGTTGACCTATTTATACTTTTTGCAGTCTATATATTTAGCGGTATTCGGTTCAATTTACCTGTAAAATTATAAAACTAGTCGCGACGTTCAGCACGGAGAAGATTATCAAGAAAAGCCGATCCAAAACCATCGCCACGAATGTCCAGTCGTCAGAAATCTCAAATAATTGATGAATGACGAGACAGTAAGTGTTAATTCTATACCTCAGCTTCCTTTTCATTGTGCATAAAATGTTCTGCAATGAATCGAACTTGTTGTAGCAGATTATGAAATATAATGTCGTTCATCTGCTGCGTGCTCTTTTTCGGCTTTTTAAACGACACAGTGGGGGCCATTTTCTCTTTTTCTTCGGGAGGGGCGTAGAGACGGGTCTGAAAGAATACCATAATTACCGTAATATCGATTCTAATATACTCAAAATGTCTTTAAATTGGCTAATAAATTTTCCATTCAAACCCTAAGGTCTCTATCCTACTTACCTCAACCTCGTCCAACCGTATATCCGTCCGGAATCCAAAACTTCTGGAAGCAAGCTGCTTCTTCTTGCTTTCTCGCAGAAGACTTCTAGCTATTTTTTCTTCATTTCTATAAAAAATGGCTAAAACTCGACTGCCAGATCGGTACCTGTATTTAACTCCAACAAGACTAGCTGCATCCACCAATGCCGGTGGCTTCACCTCACTTTCGGGCTTTTTTGGCCGCTTCATCATCAGAATCCTAGACAAGATGAGGATGGGGGCAATGGAAGCAAACATCTCCAGAACACTTCTCTAGGCACTTACGTGGGTAACCACTGCAAGAACAGCGTCTGAATCCACGGCGACATGCGATGGGCGGAGCCGGAGCGGAACCGGAAGTTCACCGTAACGACTGAAATATCGTAATGAAGTTAGAGTTTGCAAAAAAACAGCTGTAGTTTGGAGAAAATGAACCCACCAGAAACTGCCGTAGATAAAGCGACGAGAATCATGGTAGTGATCAAATATCGTCCAAACATTGGGATAACCAGCGATGTGGGAGGCATTAAATCGATCAGGACCTAGATTAAGTCATATAATTTTTTGGAACAATATAATTTGCAGGAGAAAAATATAGAAACGCTCTGGTCAGAAGCACCTAGTTGACGCGTACGGTCGCGTCGCGTACGGCTCAAGAGGGCTAGAGAGCGGCACTAGGGCGAGAGAAACGCAACGCGCCCGTACGCACTATCCCATTAAGTGACTTACCAAGAAAAACACAGTTAACGTCACGAGAATCGAGATGGAGAACGTGATTTTGTGGTCGGAGAGGTAGAATACGAAGGTGGTAAGGATGGAAATTAGGAAGCAGGGCAGAATCAGATTGCAGGTGAAGAATAGGGTCTTTCTCCGGAGCAGGAACTCGAAGGTGATGTCGACATATCTGAAATTTTCATGTAATTTCGAAAATTGAGACGCTAATTTCTTGGTCACACTTGCTGCCCAAAAAATAAAATTTACTTACTTTTCGGGCCCGCAGCATGAGGCATACAGTACGGCCTGTCTTTTTGATGTTAATGAGAGCAGATCCCACTCGGCGGATCTAAAAATCGTTTGTTTTTAGGCTAAATAATGATAAAATTGCAAGTCTATTAACGTTTTTACTTACGCAACTTTTTCCACTAGTAAAATCCTGCAACTTACTGATAGAAGAAGGATAGATCCATCCCTTGCATCAAGTACTCGATGTCGCTTTCCCCGTCATTTTTATCGCGCACCACTTCTTCTGAAATTTTCTAAAAGTTTCGATGTGTTTTTACGACAAACCTCTCGGTAACTGCCTCAAATCCACATATTGACCGGTGTAGGTCCAGGTGCCGAACTTCATCGAGCAGTTCTGTTCGTCGTACGGGAACCAGGTGACGTCAATCTGAATTTGGGCAGTTGGCAGGATTTTCGAAGATTTGAAGCCAAGAGGCTTGAAAGTGGGTTTATTATAGAAATTAATCGATATTTTAGCGCTAGATCTTCAGGTAAATTTTGTATTTCGGGTTTTTCGGATAGGTGGAAGCTTTATATTTTTTTGGCAAACAACTTACAGGGCAAAATGACTTATAAATAGCCGGTGGTTGCCAGAATACGTGGCCATCATACGTGACGAGGGCATCGGTCAAAATTGTGATATCCGGATCTCCAGCAGCACTAAATTGAAAAGTGGTGTTCCTCTACATCGATGACCTACTTGTTATACAGCACCAAATCCGGGGTCCACAGGAATTCGCTCGGAATGTGCAACTTGGTGATATTTCCGTATTTCTCCGGATTCCAAGTTAGCTTTGAGTCGAACCATTGCTAAAATGTTGCTATAGCTTTGCTTAAAAAGAACGATTTATTGCAATTGGTAAAACCAACCATCTCTAGCCATAAGTTGGTGGTGAGTACCTGGTTCTTCTCATCCTAAAAATTGCAGCATTGTCAAGAAAACTGGTCTTACCACATCGATAATTCGTATTAATGAAGCTCCAACTTCCACCGTCAAAATATCAGAGGAATTCTTGACAGGCCGAGGAATTCTGTTATAATCATAGAGAAGATCTTCATAGAGTTGACTCTCGAAATCTTTCACTTTCCGGAGAGCCGTAGACGCTGAGAATAAAAACGGTAAGTAGAAAAATAGGCGCCTGGTCATCTTTGCATTTCCTCAAAATTATGAATTTTTGAAATTATATGATTTTTAGAAAAAAGAAACTAAGCGAGAAAGGAGAAAAAGAATTTGTGAAAGAGAGGACGCGCATGAGAGCGAGAGGGAGAGAGAGCGAGAAAGAGAGAGAGCGAGAGAGAGAGAGAGAGAACCGGCTATGGCGAAAGCGAGGGAAAGAGACACGAGAGATTATAGGATGAAGAGCCATATAAAGCAAGAGAGGAAGGTTCGATGGAGACCTAGACGGAACGAATAAAATCCACAAAAATTGTTCTTTGTCCAACACACAGCATCTGAAAATCTGGCTCTTCCTCCCAACCCATCCCAAACGTTGGAACTTGGACCGGAAATCGCCCGACAGTTGTATTTGGGAGAGAATCGAATTAGTTCCGACATTGAGTTGGGCGAGGAAGAAGCCGTGAATCGTTGCCCATCTTCCTTCCCTTCCTATCTTCCGCTTCTCCACCTCTTTCTGTCTTCCCCTCCCCTCATGGCCCTAGTTGAAGTGTTGGCGTTATTGGATTTGGCATGGGCCCGTGCACCCACGATGAGATGGGCCCCCGGCCATGCGCCCAGAAAACAAAAACCAGAAGAGATAGGGGGAATTGGCGAAAGGAGAGAAACTGCTCGCCGCGGTTCAATACCCAGAAGCTGCGTTTCAACCACCTGGCTGAAACCGCTGGAACGTCGTGGCTTTGAAAGAGTACGAAAGTGCAAAATGTCTTCGAGCTTTGTGGGTTTGTCGGAGTTTCCACTGATGTGCGTGAATTAACCAGGTTTCCGTCCGTCTTTGCAATGTTAGAGAAATAATCGGGACCCCAAATTTAGCATTAGCTCGTTTTCAATGCATGTTGACAAGCGTTTAGAAAAACCATTTTTGTGGACCGCAATTTTAATGACCATTTAAACCAAGAAAATAAATTTTAAAACGTATAACTTATGTAGGCCACTAATTCAACCGCGCTCTGCCAAGTCGTGTCAAGAAACAGGATTGAAAAAAGAACTGTAAGCGCCAATTCAGGACTGGAAACGAATTTCAAAAGTTCCGATACGGCGTGTAAGAGTGTAGGAGAGATGTAGGCGCAATAGATTACAGCGGGTAAATGGAGATTTCGACAAAGCTGTCGTGTCGAGGCCCTGGACAACCCAAAAATTAGTTACTAGAACTATCTTGCCGTAAGTCGCACTCTGCAAACAAATAAACTAATAAGCTAGCAGCAATCCCCTGACAATTTTTGTGCTCCTTGAATTTTTTCGAGCTCTGGGGCATTTGGCGTTTTCAAAAAAGGGAAGGTAAAGGGCAATTTCTTTTCAGATGCCAGGAGGTACAATCTAGCAAAATGCCGTGATACTTGGGACCAGGGTTGGTCATTTTCGGATCGGACTGGATCCGGATCTGGATCTGGATCGGATCCGGATCCGGATCCGCGGTAGGATCCGGATCCGGATCCAGATCCAGAGCGGATCCGATCCGATCCGGATCCAAGGAAATGGATCATGCAACCGAGTTAAGTGCTAATTCTTAGATGCAAAGATCAGTTCTGCCTCTGGGCTATGTATTTTTGCGATTAACATGACCGAATCAGCATCAGAATCGAGAATATTACTTCCGGTCCCCTTTTTCCTCGGATCCGCATTGGATCCGGATCCGAGCGGATCCGGATCTGGATCTGGATCCGGATCCCACTGCGGATCCGATCCGGATCCGGATCCAGGTCCGATCCGGATCCTTACCGATCCGGGTCCGTCGGTGAACAACCCTGCTTGGGACACAAGCGCAATAATTCAGCAGTCCTAAAAAACAAAAGAGCTCAGACACAAAACCTCTGGGTCCCGCAGCCGGGTTACGGTACCAACATTGCGCAAAAATGACAAAAAGTACTCGAATCCCGCATTGCCAAAAAGATGTAACTCCAGAAGCCCTCCAAAAGTGAATCGACTTCCCCTTCTCCCGGCTAACAATAATAATCCCAGGCAGGAGTGCTGTGTGTCTGCCAACGGAGGCTTATGCCAGCCGAAGGGGGAAGAAGAAGAAATCGGATGGGGGGCTTGGGACTAGTGGCCCCAGGGGCCTCTTGTGGCCATGGCCCATTCTTTCTTTTTCGTATTCCCCCGATGGAGGGGCCCGTCATTCCCCTTCTGACCTCCTCTTCAAAAAGGAGGGCCAAGACGACGGGACGTCAATAGGGGGGAACTCCGGAACTTGGAATGGGTCAAATTGGGTCGACGAGTTTGGGAGTTGTCAATTGAGGGCAGTTCAATTCAAGTGGAATTATATGTATTTACTTACTCATTTTCGAAAAATTTTCGTGCAGGCATCAATCAGAAATGGCCGCAAAGGGTATGAAATGGCAATGATAATCTTCGAACTGATTTTTGGAGACATGGTTTTTGAAAATACGTCTTTAGGAAAAAATGGTTTTTTGCAAAATTTTTTCGAACAACGATCGCTCGTCATTTTTGTGCGATATACGCAGCCAGAAATTTCGAGTATTTGAGCTATTCGGGCAGGCATCAGTGCGTTAATGACGTCCCTTCCTCCGGTTCTGAAGGACGATGAGCTGAACCTAGAAAAATTTGAAAATTCCGCGGAGTTTTTTAGCGTCTGGAGAGCCAAAGGGTTTTTCTGCAAGCTTGCACCCAAACTCACTACGCTTCGCTGCTCATCGCGATTTCCGGCTAACCATAAAAAGCCACGCTTAAACGCGGAAGCTAAAAAGATGCGGTCGGCGTCTTGACAGAGTTCAGTTGTTGTGGAAGATGACTTCCAAAAAGACTTACGAAGCTTGATCTGAAAGAAGTAGTGAAAAAAAGCCATTTTCTCAACGGGATCCGTCCATTGGATCTTCAAATATGTCCAAAACTGACGCTGGGCTTAACCCAGGTAAACCAGCAGGATCTGGATGCTTGGATGTCGACTACTGGGGTCAAAGCTTCCGGTTCCTCTGTGTGTTTAAATTTTGTTAAAGACGCTTAAAAGGCCGTCCGCGGGTCACTCGAACAGTCCCCATTATGGCTTGGCACAGTTTTTTTCGACCCCGTTTTTTCGACGCCATGTGAAAGAGCATGGTCGAATTAGTAGGACTGCATAGTTTTGAAAGTTTAACAAGTTTGTTTTTGGGGTTTAAATGGCCGTTAAAGTTGCGTACCCCGAAAAACTATCTCGGAGCTCACTGCACAGAACTGACTGAAACTTCGAGATAATACCTAATTTGGGGTGCTGATCATTTTTGTAATACATTGTGAAGCACGAAAATGGCCAGAACATAGGAATATCGCGTAGTCAAAACAGTTTTTTCGGGTTTTCGTTATGATGGAAAGTTTGCTGTAAGCTGAAAGTAACATCAAAAGATGCGCAAAAATTTTCTGCATCGAATGGTGTGTTTTTTACAATGCAGCAAGTTTTCCATCATGTCGAAAAGTCCTATTTACGGAGCCTCAGCTCAAAAAATTCAAAAATCGCAAGTATAAAAAACGTTCCCCAATTTCTAGAGACGAAATCGTACCGATCGCAAAAAAGAGCAAAAAGAAATTCGGCTTCTGAGAGGGGGCTGGGATTGAACTCGGGTCGTTCGCCTGGGACCTGGCGGCGCCCACTAGCGGCTGCCCCCTGTGCCCCCAGGCAAACCATCGCGGGTTCGATCCCGGCAAATCGCCAGTTTCGCGCCGGAAGGGAATTTCTTTTTGCTCTTTTTTGCTTTTAGTTTTGGCTAGTTTTTATATAGGACTCCATTTACATCTGTGGGAAAATAAGCTTTCTTACACATTTTGCGATCGTATTTCTTGATTTTAGAAAAGCTAATTTTTCGACATGATGGAAAACTTGCTGCATCGTAAAAAATACACCATTCGATGCAGAAAATTTTTGCGCATCTTTTGATGTTACTTTCAGCTTACAGCAAACTTTCCATCATAACGAAAACCCGAAAAAACTGTTTTGACTACGCGATATTCCTATGTTCTGGCCATTTTCGTGCTTCACAATGTATTACAAAAATGATCAGCACCCCAAATTAGGTATTATCTCGAAGTTTCAGTCAGTTCTGTGCAGTGAGCTCCGAGATAGTTTTTCGGGGTACGCAACTTTAACGGCCATTTAAACCCCAAAAACAAACTTGTTAAACTTTCAAAACTATGCAGTCCTACTAATTCGACCATGCTCTTTCACATGGCGTCGAAAAAACGGGGTCGAAAAAAACTGTGCCAAGCCTTGTTCGGACGGCTCGCAAACGGCCTTTTAAACGCTTAGTATTAGTTTTAGGCTTAGGCTGTCGGCTTCAAAAAAAATCAGTTTCAGATCCCGCTCAAAATTTATTTTATTTTTATTGTCTAAGGACATGGATTTTTCCATGGGTAAATTTAAGGCGTAGCTTTTTGAATTTCTCTATTTCTTTTCGATTACACGTTTTCCTGCAAAACCAACGTTCCCTCTGACGAATCCACCGAGTGAAAGCACACAAAACTACACTAGTATCCGCCCGAGTGATAGGCCGGCCATATGGAAGACAACCTTGTAGTGTGCACCCTGCGTAGCCCTCTTTCCAGCCCCCTCGTTTGGATATCCTGATAAGGGGGTTGATTGAACCAAGCGCACCTGCAGTTTTCGCCTTTTCCACGCCATAATAGGATTTTATTGTTTCCGTTTTTATCTAAAGTGCGTTATTTTATACGAATTTTTTTTGTTAATAAATACTCAAGACTTTTTTGCTTACCT